CGCATGATCAGCGGGATTGTCTTCTGATGTCACGTATTTCCACTGGGTTGGTTTTGTGCTTTCCTTGATGCGCTGTATGCGGTTAGCTACGAAGACGTGAAACCGTTTTGCGTCATTATTAATGTATCCCAAGACGACGTTTGAATCTGTCCAGAAGAATTCTTGGGCGTCTTCAAACTCCAATTCTCCTCTGAGCATGTCACTTGTGCGTACTGCTACAACTGCTGCGGACAGCTCAAGTCTTGGCACCGTGGTTACCTTTGTGGGGGAAACTCTGGCCTTGGCCATGACTAGAACGCAGTGTATCTGTCCCGTTATGCTGATTGCTCTTAGATAAGTACAGACTCCATACCCTGTGACACTTGCGTCTGAAAAATGATGGACTTCATACTTGTGAACGGTCTTGAAATCTACTGGTAAATAGCATCGCTCAATCTTGACATTGGCTAAGTTCTGTAGATCCAGTAGCCATGACTCCCACCGTGACCTCAGCTCATTTGACAGTGGCTCATCCCAGTCGATCTTCTCACGACACATTTGTTGAAGTATTTGTTTCCCAAGTAGGACAAAAGGTGCCACAAAGCCAAGTGGATCGAAGATTGAGGCTACTGTGGACAAAACTCCTCTTCGAGAGAGAGGGTGCTCATTCACAACTACTCGAAACTGGAAATGGTCTGAAGCGACACACCATTTGACGCCTAGAGCTCTTTCAATCTGTTGTTCGCCAAGAGCTAGGTCTTGTTTCATTACCGTCTCTGCACAGTCTTCCTTCGGGAGGGATGCTAATACTTGTTGGCTGTTTGAAATGAACTTATGAAGTCGCAACTTGCCTGTATTGCAGAGTTGTTTTGCTTCGTTTACCAACTGAATAGCCTCTTCTTCTGTGTGGACACTTATTAGGCCATCATCCACATAGAAGTTTCTCTCAATGAAACGAATTGTAGCTTCACTGAAAGAAGCTTGCCCTTGAGCTGCGATGTACTTGAGGCCGTAGTTTGCGCAGCCGGGTGAGGAAGCGGCTCCAAACAGATGGACACACATACGGTAGACGGAGGGGTTAGAGTATAAGTCTCCATTGTCCCACCACAGAAAGCGGAAGTAGTCTTGATCTTCTGGCTTGACGTGGAATTGGTGAAACATGCGTTCTATGTCGCACATCACCGCTACTTGACCCTTACGAAACCGGCATAGAACACCAACCAGGGTGTTGGTCAACTCAGGCCCAGTGAGTAGAAAGTCATTTAAAGACACACCTTCGTACCTCGCAGAGCAATCGAACACGACTCTAATTTTTCCAGGTTTCTGAGGGTTATAGACCCCATGATGAGGGATGTACCAGGAGGGGCTTTTGTCCAGTTCGTCAGGTGGAACCTTTTCCGCATCTCCACGTGTTATTGTTTCATTCATGAATGTTGTGTAGTCTTTGTGGTATTGCGTGTCTTTCTCAAATCTTTTCTTTAGACATTTGAGTCTGTGTTCGGCACAGATTTTGTTAGCTGGCAGATTTGGTCTGTCCTTCTTAAAGGGTAAGGGCAACTCACAGTGACCATTCGCTTTCATTTTCACTCCTTCTTCCATTATGGAAATGAAACGCAAATCCTCTTGGGAGAAGTGAGCGTCCTCCACGCGGCGTTCATTGAAATCAGACTCCAGTACTTTTATCACATCTAGAGGTGTGACTAGCTCTTTGACTTGTGTACGACAGACGTACATGACTTCATTTGGTAAGGAGTTTGATGACTGAACAGAAGGTGTCACTTCCTTCACTATGACTCTGTGGCTGCTTCCTATAGCGTCACCATAGTCCACACAGGGATCAGTACCGCCGACTATAGTCCAGCCAAGATCTGTTCTTTGAGCGAATGGTTCATTGTCCTTTCCTGACACCACTTCTCTGGGTAGCAGAGCTTGCGAACAGTTATACCCTATAAGCAGGCCGACATCGCACTCTATCATGGGAGGGATCTCTTCAGCAAGGTTCTCTAGGTGAGGCCATGCTCTTGCCGTCTTAGGTGTGGGAAGATGACTTAGATTGGCAGGGATAAAGTCTCTGGTGTATGTAGTTGGGAGAGGGATTCTCTTGGATGTGTAGAAGCCTCTGATTTGTAGCCCAAATAGCTTTTGACTTGTAATGACTGTGTCCCTGGATGACAGTGTGGAAAGTTTCAACTGCACTTGTTTCCTTTCTGTGATTAAAGCGTCTGCCTTTTCTTGAAGAACGAAAGTGGTGTCGCTCTGACTGTCCAGAAGGGCATAGACAAGAATCTCGTGTTCTGGGTCGCTTGTTGTGGACAACCAAACTGGAACGATTGTGGATGTGAGATCACTGTTAGTGTTTTGGACAACACGGTTGGATATTGCCTTGTTTGATGTTTCTGAACTTGGTTGTTTGGTTTCCCTTGTGTCCTTTTGTTCCTTGTCAGGATCCTTTGTCCTTTTGACTTCCCTGTCACGTTCCTGATGTAAGCATGTTGGATGTTTCCCTTTGCATGTATTACAAACACTTCTCCTTTCACATTTTTTTGAATGGTGACCAGGATTGAGACATCCAAAGCACAAGCCCTTTGTTTGTACAAACTTGACTCGATCAGCAATTGACTTGTCCATGAACTTTCGGCAGACATGAATTCCATGGTTTGGTCTTTCACAAAAGATACACATCTTAGTGTCTGATTTCTCTTCAGAACTGCTTGCTAACACTTTTGCACCCACACTTCGGATCTTTGAGGTCTTTGTTTTTTCAAAGTCACTTGCCTTTAGTGCATGAAGCGATGTTATTGGATTGCACGCTATCTTCGCCTCTCTTGTAACAAAGTCGACAAAGTTGCTGAATGTCGGAAATGACCCACTTTGTTCTTGTATGTCAATGACTTTTCTATTCCAGCTCGCCGTTAACCAATCAGGAAGCTTGCTGAGTATTTTCTGATTTTCGCTGCAGTCATTGAGAACTTCAAGATTCTTAATCTGGAACATTGCTGCTTCACAGCCTCTGAGAAAGTCTGAGAACTCTTGTAGTTCAGCACTGTCCTTTGGTCCTATCCTTGGCCATGATGTGAGCTTATCCCTGAAGGCTTTGGCGATTACAAATGAGCTTCCATACCTTTCCTCCAGAATGTTCCATGCTGCAAGATACGCTGTGTCCGTTCCCAACAGGAAATAACTCTCAATTGCTTTTCTTGCTGGCCCACCAACATATTTCCGGAGGTAATAGAGCTTTTCATTTACTGGGATGTTCTTCCTGTCTATCAGGGTTTGAAAGGACATTTTCCAATCCTTATACTTGAGTGGGTCTCCAATGAAGACTGAAGGTTCTGGCACTGGTAAACGGCTTATGTTAATTGACTCTGCTAACGCCCTGGCTAATGCAGTAGTGCTGTCTTCTTGTGTAGCATTGGTTGCACGTTGCCAGCTTGTGGCCTCTTGTGGCACAGTGCGTTGTTGCGGGTGAAATTCTGGCAAACTAACCAGGTAAGGTGTGGCTTCTTTCGGCCTGGACTTACTGTGTAGAAGCTCTGATATTTCTTCATCTGAAGTTGATTCTTGCTCGTAGACTTTCAGACGTGCTTCGGCGGCTTTCATTTTCTTGACAGTTTCTAAGCGTTCTATCTGCCTTCGCTTTTCTTCTAATGTCTTCTGTTTTTCAGCATTTTCTGCTTCTTGTTGTGCAAGTCTTTTTCTGTTTTCAGCTTCAAGATTTTCAAGTTCCCTTTGCTCATGCTCCATTTCTTGCATCACTTTCAAGGTAGCTTCAATTGCAGCCAGTTCTGCTGCTGCTTCTTGTTTCTTTGCAGATGAATTACTCGAATGGCTTGAACGCGTGGTTGCACTACCTGTATGTTTGGACCTGTAAGATGCTGAAGATTGGAACACTGAGCCAGCCTCACTCCAGTGAGTTGACCTTTTAGCTGGGTATTTACCACACTCCTCTTCTTTAAGGATCTCTGATGCATGTTCTATTATCTTTGCAGAAACAGCATGACATGTGTCTATTCGACGACGAGTGTCACTGTCAGGAGTGTTGTGACTGCGCAACTCGTGATAGGTTTGCTTTACTTCTCCAGCAGCATTTTGGACGCTTACAATGTGATCCCGTAAGCTTGCAGTGTTAGGTGCATCGAGTGCTCTCTTAGCTTGTTTGACAATAGCTTTCCATTTGTCATAATTAGTCTTAAAACGACACTGAAGCTTATTCACTCTTTCTTCGTGTAGAGCCTGGCCCTTTTCAGTAAGCTTTCTGTTTCTTTGGCTTTTTCTCAAAGCATCTTCAGCTACTTGACTTGAATTTGCCTCTTCACAGCTTCACTTCCTTGGACTTCAGGCTCAGCCATTTCACTACTTGAGCTAATGTATGTGTGTTGACTTAAATTCAGATTACTTGTGTTTGTAAAATTACCTAGATTAGTTTAAGGCACTATGGATATAATACTCTTAAACTGTAAATATGAACTCTGTTAGAATTAACTAAAAAAATGTGTAAACACCTTAATGCAAATAATAAACTGTTTTCACCTTGTATGAAAATAAAGAAAATTGACCTTCAATGTCAAAGAAAAAACAATATGACTTAACTATGCCTTAGTGCACCTTTAACTTTGCAATATAGTGTTAGAATGTGCAATTTGTATAAATCACCTTACAAAGAAATAAACACAATTAAACTTAATCTTAATTTCAGACACATACACTTCAGCCCCTTTTAGCACTTTAGAGTCCCTTTAAAGTTAGCAGAATCAAACTACTTCTTAACATTTAACTTGTTTAAATGTGTTACTTATTTGTAGCTTGAATCCACGACACTTCTGGACTCCGGTTGCCACTTGTCGGGTTTCCGTTCATGCAGTCCGAGTTGTCTTTGATGCTCGTGAGCGTAGTTAACGATGTAACGAGCTGTTCGTTTATGGCTCCGTTGCAACCGGCACCGCTCTCTTCTCCTCCAACCCGAAGCAGGCTGAGTTCTGACTGTTACTCCCCTCGAGTTTAATAAAGGCTCAAGTCATTCCTGGATTTTCACGGGCATATTTATTCCATGACGGACATGTCTTTACATGTTCACTTGTTGCATTTCCAAATTGCCGTCAGAACTGGTATATAAATAAAACACAGAAAACGTAAATTAACCTTAAATTTTTGACATATTTGCAGACAATACTAAACAGAAATCACAAACTAAAAAATAAAGTATACATTTATGCAATGTAAAGTAAATTGGCTTTGTTACAAACACAGTCACGTAAACACAAATACATGACAAAGAAAGAGAAAATATACCTCATTGGCCACATGCACTCGAGAGGGTAAACTTAGAAGGGTATTCGTCTTCAATCCTCAACAATAAAACTTATAAATTATCTTTATAATCTTCCATGGCTTTTCAGAAAACCGCAGCACATTTCTCTCATCTAGATCTTTGCGAGTGTACCCATAAAGCGTCCCTATAGCAACAAATTATGATTTCCGCACGGAACAAAAAATAAGTTCCACCCTTTTCCTCACAGATTTTAACAAAAGAAATAATCATGAAATTATTATTTATTGACCATGAAACATTTCAATCATATGATTTTTAACCTCATATATTTATATTTTAATTGTGAACCATATTTAACAGAAATGCATAAGTTGCCTTTGATTGCAGCTACAACTTGGGTTAAGGACAGGTGCGTCCCCAAATTGATAAAACGGCAGCAGTTGTGACCTGTCCAAGACCTAAGAGCAAGAGGGAGATTAGACAGTTCCTGGGGCTGGCAGGATGTTATGGAAGGTTTGTGCCTAATTATTCGGACCTCGCCAGCCCACTGACTGATCTAACTAAAAAGGAGGCACCAGATACCGTCTTTTGGACGGAGCAGTGTCAGCAGGCTTTTACCCACATAAAGGCTGTTCTGTGTGGCAGAGCGCTATTACAGGCTCCTAATTTTTCTCTCCCTTTTATTCTACAGACATACGCGTCGGACAGGGGGCTATATTCCGGCTACATCGCGCGTGACCTTTTGAACTTAATTACGTATTACGCGACGTTGCAAACGCGCCTCACAGAATAGAGCAAGGCTAGCATTTGTCCTTAGAAAAGTTACATTTTTGGAATAAGTTTTGAAATAATCGATTGTTTCGCATGATAAGACCTTTATTCATCGTCTGGTGTCGTTTAAAGAGATTTGAAGCCGCATCCGAAACTGTTATTAACTGTCGTTTGGACCTTGGACCGTCTGGTTCCCATGTAAGTCCATTATATGGAGAAAAATCCTGGAATGTTTTCATCAAAAACCTTAATTTCCTTTCGACTGAGGAAAGAAAGACATGGACATCTTGGATGACATGGGGGTGAGTAAATTATCAGCAAAAGTTTTTTCAAAAGTGAACTAATCCTTTAATTTCTCTGGAAATTTATTTTTTTTCTATTCTGTTAAGGGTTGAATAACTTTTTGAACAGTTGTTTGGATGTTTCCATTAAACACCTTTCCATTGAAATCGGTTAAGTCAAAGTTTGGAAAGACCTCCCTCTGCGGCAGCTAACATGAGAGATTCTTTATTACTTTCAGGTTGGCCTTCTTTAATTTGGCATGCATGCGTTTTGTTCTTTCAAACCACATATTTAGAATCAAAGAGAGTGGGATTATTCATTCAGGTGCCCAAATAAGCAAGTATAGCTTTTACTATTATGCCCTGTTTGCCTGTAATTCAGCAGTTCAAAATGAATGCTCCTTAAGCACTGCCTGGTGCACATTTGAATATGTAAATGATAGTAGGACTAAACGGAGACTGTTGCACAGTGATGTAAGAGTGATGAGTCATGCCTCAGGGTCGAGTGAGCAGTTGTTGCGGTGACGGCCTCTGGTTTGGGTGGGAGGCTGCACTGTGGCTGCTCACGCCTCTTCCATTAGATGAGTAACACCCCACTGGGTGAATAGTACTGATGCTCAGTAGGAGTGTTACAGCAAAAGCCAAGTAGCTGTTCTGAAGTAAACATCTCCAGAGTTAAAATCAAAATAAGATATTTTTAATTCTTTTGTCCATACAATGAGGTCGGACGTCAATGAGGTCCAGAACATCAATAGACCCTGCTGATAAATGGATAAAACAAACACAAATGGCATTTTTTTAAATGCGTGTGTTCCACATAAAAGTTTGGAACGACATGTCGTGCAGTAAACAAAAATATTTGTCAATTAAATATCTCTCACAAAATACTGTCTTAATGAAAATATAAAGAAGAAAGTTTTCTGTAAGATAAAAAAAGCAACAGAACAATAAATGCAAAGTCTCAATCTCACCTCTGGGGTCAAATTCACCTAGAAGTGAGCTAAATCTGATACAACAAACATCGGCTCATTAGAAAAATGTGCCTCATTTTTGTGGGTTATAGGTGGTACGATAATTTCAACAGAATAGAGCATTGCCTTTAAAGTTGGCTTGAAACGGAAATTGCGATAGCTTTTTCTTCTCTATTGGGATTTATGCTGTCTTCACATGCTATCTGAATTATATGAGTTTCCTAGTTAAAAATGTGACATGAGTGCTCTCTCAAGTCATATTTACCACTGGAAAGCTCTGGGATAATTTTGATACCCAAGTTCTTAAGTTGAGCGTGCCATAAACTTTAACATGGTGGAAGGGAGAACGATTACTGCTGTGACTGCTTATACAGTAGCTACATCACCTTGTCTTGTCGTTAAAGTAGTGCATATTTACATGTATGACTAACCATTTGAAGCGTATTGTTTTATTCACAGCAAAAATAGCCTGCATTTGATCGAAATTCCAGAATTGTCAGCAAGCTGACAATCTCGAGAAATGTTGGGCAGGATTGATTTTGTCCTTCAGGAATTTGTTTGATTGTTGTGGTTTGCTATTGCTGTGATCTTATTTGAATGACGGGTTGTCCCGCCTTTGCTCCAATAATCAGGTCAAACAACGAGATGTCGCTGCAAGAAGGAGGGAAAGTTGTTTTAATTTAAGATTACAAGGGCAAATTAATAAAAAATAAATAAATAAATAAATAAATAAAAAAAATTAAGATGAGCATGGATAAACCATTCATAATAAAACGTCAACTCACTGGACATTTTATTTTTCAAACTTCTGCAATACTTATAACAACCAGTGTAATAAAATGTTTTCACATTCCTCTTCATCTGTTTTGAATAAAACGAAATGCTCCTTTAGCTCCACTGGCTTGGACAAAACTTTATTTGGGGACATCCTAAATTTGTAAAAAAAAAAAAAAAAAAAAAAAAAAAACAGTAAGTAAAGTAAAGTAAAACAAAGTTTTATTATTATTATTTTTTTTTTTTAAATGGTGGGTTAGGGTTATGTATTTGTGGTACTTAGGTATGTTGTGGAACTATAACTTACAAAAATGAGAAGTCTATGAATTATCCCCATTTAACCAATGTGCCAGTGTTTCAGAACAGTTTTCGTCACTTCTAGACAGAAATTTTCTTTTCTGAAAAAGTATTGTCCTTTTTTTTTTTACTTTTCAGAAAGTTTGATCCTTGTTCTACAGTATATTGCATTTACAGTGAAATATGTAAACATTTGTAAAAACATATCTTAATTTCTAATCTAAACATTAAACAAGGCCTCTGTGGGGGTCATTAATCGCTAGGCTAATTGCTGGGTGGTTACTAATGTGAAGACAGTGCTGGTGTTACAGTGTGTGTAATTGTGTCCTCAGGGACCTCGATATCCTCCTGCTGTGTCTAGAGTCAAAGTGGTGTGTCTGAGAAATCGAATGCTGTCTTATTTGTCAAGCTCTATCTGTTTAGAGTGTAAGCGTGCCACAGGGCGAGAAGAGTTTGGAATATATCCCAAAAATATTTAAATTGGGCAAGATGTTTATGGAAAATACATAAACACAACACACACACACTCTCTCTTTCTCTCTCTCTCTCTCTCTCTCTCTCTCTCTCTCTCTCTCTCTCTCTCTCTCTCTCTCTCTCTGGTGCATGCTGGGAGCGAGTGAACGGAGTTTGGCGTGGGGGTGAGGGTTGTTTGACCTGGAGTTTTTTTTGTTTTCTATTTTTTTTTTCTCTCCTTTATTTTTCTTTTTCCTTTCCTTGAATTTAGTTTAAGTGGTAGGTTTTCTTGGCTGACTTCGGTCAGCGAGTGGGGGAAATGGGGACTAATGTGGGTGATTTCTCGCAACTGACTATTAGACATGGTTGTAAATGCATGCCTGATGCGTCTGTGTCAGTGGAGGATTGCCTGGTTGCCGTGAGTGCTGCAGTCGGCGGCGTTAACATCAGGTCTGCCTCTCGCATGAATAAGGCCATAGTCATTTTTTTGAGTCAAAGCCAAATGGTTAATGACCTAATAGAGAGCGGATTAACGATAAATGAAATGTTTGTGCCCGTTTTGCCTCTGTCGAGTCCATCAAAAAAGATTGTTCTGTCAAACGTACCTCCATTTGTCAAAAATGAGAAGCTGGAGGAAATACTTTTGAGATATGGTAAATTAGTGAGTCCCATTAAGATGATCACGCTTGGATGCAAAAATCCACAACTTAAGCATGTGATGTCTTTTCGGCGCCAGGTTTTCATGATTTTGAATTCTCAGAGCGATCCTTTGAACTTGTCGGCGAAACTAACCATTGAAGGGAAGGATTACACTATCTTTATAAGTTCCGAGTCCATGAAATGTTTTATTTGTGGCGAACTCGGACACGTTCGACAGAATTGCCCGAATCGTGACAAAAATAGCGTTAATGAAGTTTTGCCCGAAAATATGGTTGTTGGTGGGGCGCGGGGTTCTGACGTTGCGGACGCTGCGCCGTTACTTCTTCCTCAAGCCGTCACAGAGACAGCGCCGATGCCGGCGCCGAATGACTCGCTCGAGGAAAACGGGGAAAGTTTCCTGTTGACTAATTCCAACAATAGTGCCGTAGAGATAGCTCAGGTTGCCCAGGTAGCGGATGTTAAAGTCTTTGTCACGCAGCCAGAGTTGAGTTCGGATCATGAGGATGAATCAATTGAGAATGAACAACAAATACAACCCGAAGTAAGTGAGGTTAAAACAAGCACTGATGAATCGATTGATCAGAGTCAAGGAGATTATGTTTCGCAAGAAGTGGACTTCGAGAAGGATGACGATGAATACGACGGGAACGATATGATGGACATGGAGAATATTTCAGGTAGGACGAAACTTTACTCTTTACAGCAGATAAATACTTTCCTTGACAATACAAAGGGGCTTCGCAAGCCCAGTATTGAATCGCACTTTCCAGATTTGAAACTTTTCCTGATATCTTGTACTGTAGCTATGCGGAAGGCAACTTTTGATGAGCTCGACAGACCAAAACGGTACCGCCTTAAAAAGATCCTTTGTACTGTAAGAGGTATACTGAATTTATCCGGCAAAAAGTGATATGGCTAGCATGCATTTTTGGGGGTATCTCTCTTTATTTTTCCTTATGACATCCATGAGATTTGGTACTTTAAATATTAATGGGTGTCGTGATGCTGTTAAAAGATTTAGACTTTTTGACTATATTATGATGAAGAGGGGTAGTATAGTTTTTCTTCAAGAGACTCATACAGATTTAAAAAATCAAGTACAATGGCAGAGTGATTGGAAGGGGCAAGTTATTTTAAGTCATGGTTCTAGTGTTAGCGCAGGGGTTGCGATTCTCTTTG